CTCTGCTCTGCCCTGCCCTGCCCTGCCCTGCTCTGCCTCTGCCCTGCCCTGCCCTGCCTGCCCTGCCCTGCCCTGCCCTGCTCTGCTCTGCCCTGCCTGCCCTGCCTGCCCTGCCCTGCTCTGCCCTGCTCTGCTCTGTCCTGCCCTGCCCTGCCCTGCCCTGCTCCACTCTGCTCTGCTCTGCAACACATCTGCTCAGACAGACCTCTCTGGTAGGCTAATGTCACCACCAGATCAATAACATGGAAAGGCCACGTCAGGGGCGGTAACACAGTGGGGAGACTCTTACTCAGTGTTAGTGAGCGTCTTGAAGAATGTAAGACGAGCGTTAGCGAAAGCTGGTGGCTTGAGAGGAGAATTAAAAAATATATAAACCAGCCTACTCTTCCCATCTTACCACTCATGAAATGGATGCTCAGGACGTTTTCATCAGGGAGAAGAGGAGGAGCAGTGAGGTCTGGAAACCAGTGTAAGTTCTGCAATGAGAACTTTTCTTCATGCATCAGCAGAAGAAAGGTCCTAGACAGGACTTAGCAGGCTTCCTAGGAGACACAGCTGAAACTAATATCTAATGTGTTGGAGTGTTATTATTTTATGTTACTTGCTTACTTAGTATTAATCACAATCCTTCTATATCAATCATAGTCCTTAAGACAACCCCAGCAGTGGGACCTTTCTATGGCTTTTTTTTTTTCAGGAAAAATATTATTCAGTTTCCACAGAGCTAGCTGGAGGTGAAGCCAGTTTCAAACTCCTGTCCACTTACAAGCTGATACTTTCAGCTCTATGTAATCACTTTCTTTGCGCTACATTTTCATGAGATAGTTTGAAAACATGACCAAGAATTTTTTAAAATGCCTTTGATTGTCTTCAACAATATACCATTGAGTTCCACTGGATTTTGGTGAGAGGGTAGGAGCAACAAAGGGAGGAAGTAAGAGTCTGAAGAGTATTTTGATTTTTAATTCCCCTAGTCTCCGGGTAAACAGATATATGAGATCGGCTCATCTTCCTAGAGCCATGGCTCTAATGCCAGAACTGGTTCCACTTTCTGATATTGCTTCTTCCTGTCTTGCTGTGTCCCTCCTCGCACATAGATACCGTGGCTAGGGAAACTCTGGACTGCCCTGAGCAAGCAAGTTCTAAGTGCTCTGGAACCTCCGTTGCAAATCCCCTGCAGCTGCTGTGCTCCTGTATATGTTCTAAATTCTCTAGATGCTGAACTCCCTCCCCTCAGAAGCCCATGCAGGAGAGAAATCCTATTACCCAACAGCACAGACACAGTAGGGAGATCCTGGCGGGTCAACTACGGTTCTGAACCATGTAAATTTGATATATTTGGGCTCATGACACATCGTGAATGATTGCATCTCATGAATAGATCTTAAATACCTAATTTGGCTTCTCTGATCTACTACAACATGGCTTTGGGCACATAGTTGAAGAAAACCAAGGGTGAAAGGGATGTGGCCCTAACATGGAGTAAGGGGGTCTCAGAAGACCTTGTCTAAGGCCACACAGTGAATAAGACACAGGGCCAACTTCGGGTGATAAGGGTGTGACCATCGCCCCCAGCCCCTGTGTGGTCAGGCTGCGACTTCTGAAACAGGGGTGTGGCTGTTCTTGGTGAGAAAACTACAGCCCATTTCATATGACGTCTGGTCACATAGCTCGTGATGACCCTGTTACTCTGTGTCCACACACAATAATGCCGTGTTGTGTTTCTTGGGAAACATGAAATAAGAACTGGGTTGTACTCCAGACGACTCCTACAATGCCTTTCACCCAAGACAATCCGGCTGCCCTGACAGCACTGAGGTTCTGCTGTCTGGTGAGCTCTGTCCTGCCTGAGAAGGGCTGAGTCCGTGTTCCATCTCCTCCCAGTGCCCATCATTCCGACCCTTCTGTCTCTGTGCAGCCTCTTGCCAGGACACGTCTTGCAACAATCAAGGTGAATGCATCGAGACCATTGGGAACTACACCTGCTCCTGCTATCCTGGCTTCTATGGACCCGAGTGTGAATATGGTGAGTCTGTTAATTTATTCATTTGTGGTCACTGGTCTTAGGCAAGAGATAATGCCAGGAACGAATGCATGCTGGGATGCTCAAGTGAGTAAAAGCTAGTTCTGGGACTCACTACCAGCCATTCAATTGTCTCTAGTCACAGCAGGTCTGGGAGAAAATATTTACTCACAAAATTTCTTGGAGCTGGATGCCAGTGGCTCACGCCTGTAATCCTAGCTACTCAGAAGGCTGAGATCCGAGGATTGCGGTTCAAAGCCAGCCTGGGTAGGAAAGTCTGTGAGACTCTAATCTCCAATGAACCATCAGAAAACAGGAAGTGGCGCTGTGGCTCAAGTGGTAGAGCGCTCGCCTTAAGCTGAAGAGCTGAGGGACAGCGCCCAGGCCCAGAGTTCAATCCCCATGACTGACCAAAAAAATTATTGGAAAATAAAAGAATAAATAAAACCCTCTCCTACTGTGCCTCATGCCTCTAGTCCTATCTATTTAAGAGGCTGGGATCTGAATATGGAAACCAGCCTACGCTGACATGACCGTAGGCTAACTCCAGTTAGCCGGCGAAATACGAGAGGTAAAAGCACAGCTCAAGTTGAAAGATACAATCTATAGAACGAGCCAAATAAAAACAAGCCGCTGGACTTAGGAACCTAGAAAGATATCAGTGAAGAGGGTCACACAAATATTACAGCTTGCGACAAATCTGATCGTGTTTTTAAGTTTACAATGAAAACCTCGATACTTGGTTCCTTGCAGTCCGAGAGTGTGGAGAATTTGACCTCCCTCCACACGTGTCCATGAACTGCAGCCATCCTCTGGGAAACTTCTCTTTCAACTCACAGTGTACCTTCCACTGTGCTGAAGGGTACGAATTGAATGGACCAAGCAAGCTGGAGTGTTTGGCCTCTGGAATCTGGACAAATAATGAGCCCCCACAGTGCGAAGGTATGTAGACCATCCTTATTGTTAACTAAAACGGGAGAGGGCTTTTCTCTATTAACAAAACCTGTGGGCAAAATATTCTGGCACAGTGGCACACACCTGTAGCTACAAAGGAAGTAGAGATAAAAGGATTGAGTTCAAGACCAGTCCTAGCAAGGAGTTAGCAAGACTCTATCTCAAAAAATAAATCACAGTCCAGGTGCTGGTCGCTCCTGTTTGTAATCCTAGCTACACAGGAGTCTGAGATCTGAGGACTGAAGTTCAAAGCCAGTCTGGGTGGGAAAGGCCATGAGACTCTTATCTCCAATTAATCACCTAAAAACTGGAAGTGGAGCTGTGGCTCAAAGTGGTAGAATGTTAGCCTTGAACAAGAAGAAAAAAAGAAGGAAAAGGACAGGGACAGCATCTATGCCTGAGCTCAAGCCTTATGACAATCACTACTCCTCCACCACCAGCAAGCTCAGCATGTCTATATCCAGCTGTGTTGGAGTCAGAAGTAAAAGGATCATGATCCAAGGCTAGCCCTGGGCAAAAGCAAAAGACCCCCACCTAAAAAATAAACAAAAAGCAAAAAGGACTAGGTGTGTGCTTTATATGACAGAACACTTTCCTAGCACGCATAGGCCTTGAATTCAAACCCCAGTGCTTCTAAGAAAGAGGGAGAGAGAGAGAAAGAGAGAGAGACAGACAGGGAGAGAGACAAAGAGAGAGAGAGAGAGAGACAGAGACAGAGAAATAATGCGGTTCAACTAGAAAATTCAAATCGTTACAGCTGCCCTGAATGAACCGTCCTTCCATTGGCACTGAGCCGCATTGAGTGGAATAGCATCCAGACTCTTGAAGAACCAACAAGAGGCTGATTTGCTCTGGGCAAAATGACACACCTGTCGCAAGTGGCCTCCGGATGGTCTTGTCTGTACGCTTCTCCTCAGCAGGGGAAGAGTGCCATCAAGACTTACTGGGATAGGTTTATCAAGGTGGAAGGAAGAGACAGTGTCAGGGATTGAGCTTGGAGGGACCTGAGACTTAAGGAACTCTGCAGCAAATGGAGGATTCGTTCTCTGAGTCTGGTCAACTTGGGGCTTCTGACCCTCCGGTCTCCATGTCTAGTTCCTGGGGGAGGAGGCCCTTCCACCACTGCCATCTGACGGTGAGGGTGTGTTTTCTCTGTCTTCGGTGCTTGTCTTTCAGCCGTGCGGTGTCCGGCCCTGGAAGCCCCCGGTGAAGGAACCATGGACTGTGTGCATCCGCTGGCCACCTTTGCCTACGGCTCCAGCTGTAAATTTGAGTGCCGGCCTGGCTATCGAGTGAGGGGCTTGGACACACTCCGCTGCGTCGGCTCTGGCCAGTGGACCGCACCCCTGCCAGCCTGTGAGGGTAGGATGCTTTTCACAGCCCCCAGGATGCCCACGAGGGAGTCATGGCAGAGCAGAAAGACCACGAGCTCTGCACAGCTAACCATCCTCTAGGGTCTGAGGCTGGAGCGAGCAGCTGGCTTCCCTCACCTCCGAGAGCCAGGTTGCTCATCTGTGAGATGGAGATAGGAATTGCCAGGTGATTTTGTCAGGAGGCAGAATGTAAAAACGCACGCAAGGAAATAACACGTAGAAAGTTCCTCGCATAGACCTAGGCACTTGCTGAACTTTTCTCTCCATCCCTAGCTCTTCGGTGTGCACAAAGGGCAGTCCAGTGTCCTGAACTTGAGAAGGAATGAAGCAGCAGCTATGAGGACAGAGAGGGATTCCCCATTGTAGCCTTTGGCGAAGATGCAAAGACACCCCTATTAAAGAAGCACAGGCGTTAATGATCCCAGCAGTTGCATAAGTCCATGAAGCTCAACTTGTCGCAAAAGCCCCCTACCCTGAGCTTTTCCCAAGTTTATGAGGGAGGGGCTAGCAGCTGGAGGGAAAATAGGAAATTGAAAGTTCGATTAGTGACTTTCCTATTCTAGATTAGAATACCACCCCAAGCACTGTTTGCTAGAAGACTTGAGGATGGTCATCTTTCCTGTGTGAAGTAGGAAGGAAAGACCGGAGGATCTTTGTCCTCACGCCCTGATTGAGTGTGAAGTGGAAGCTGAGGCCTAGGCTGGAAGGGTGGTCTCTAAGCTCTGCGAACCCCAGGAATAGTCTGGAGCTGATGTAGCTCTGAGGCAAAGCATGGAGAAGGGTCCTTATCAGAGCTGAGGTGATGCAGGGCGTCATTTGCTCAGGAACTCACTGGGCTTCACTCACTCAGCAACTGAAGTCTGATGATGATGTCCGGGCCGGGGGGTGGGGGGGTTCATTTCAACAGCACTAAGTAATAGTGTCAACACATGCGACACAGTGGCTTCTTTTTCCTGGCTTATAAGCCCAGAGAGTTTCTTTATCTGCATTCCCTAAATCAGACAAACATGCAGATAAATGTTGGATGAACACTTCCAATGCACTACATACGGGGCTAGGCTCTTCAGGCGGCCGTGGGGGACTGGGGAAGACTCGCCATCATGTATACGCAGCACAGGAGCAGGGCTGTGGGAGCAGGGGAAGAGGGGCCGGGGAGGTGGCGCTTTGGGTAAAGGGAGGAGGCTCTGAGGTCCCGAACCCATGGACCATGTGGCTAGGAAAGATGCAGCAGCCCCCAGCAGTCTCTTCTGAAAAGCGTCGGGGCCTGTCTGTGAGCCAGTCTCCCACCATCTTCCCCCTGCAGCCGTTGCCTGTGAGCCTCTGGAGAGCCCCACGCACGGACGTGTGGAGTGCTCTCCACCCTCAAGCACCTTCCCATACAACACCAGCTGCAGCTTCCACTGCGCGGAGGGCTTCGTGCTGCAAGGGGCCAGCGCCGCTCAGTGTGCCGACTCCGGCCGGTGGACCGCCCCGGCCCCGGCCTGTCAAGGTACCGTGCACTCAGACATGCCTCCGTGGCCCGAGGGAATCAGCATCGGTGGTGAACGTGGTCATTGGTTAATCCGTCAAACACTATGGGACAGGTTCTTCGTGCTCAGCGCTAGGGATGAAATGATGGTGGGCAAAGCCAGCCTTAGGGCCGACATGACTCGGTGTAACACAGCTGAGAGAGTAGAGGTGCTTCGATTGACACGAGTGAGGGGGAAGGAATGGTGTGTGAGAATGAGCCGAAGAGTCAGGGACACGGCGGTTAGTCCAGTTCTTTCATGGCCTGTCAGGAAGCTTCCGGACTCTCGGAGGCTCGGTGTCTCCCCAGCTCACCACTAGCGGTGAGTTAGCGTATCGAAACACAACCTTAGAAATGCTGGCAGGCCTGTGGTCTGATTTAAGTCGTCTGTTTTCAGTGTGTTACTCTTACGTGGGAATGAAGGCACAGGGAAACCAGATGGACAGTTCCCCCCTAGGGACCCCATACCAAGTTCTGCTTCAGAAGGACGATGCTGATATTTGATGGTGCCATTTACTGGGAGTCCCTCAGCAATCGCTGAGAATGCTCTGGGTGACATATACCATGATACGAAAGTGAGCCTTGGTTTGTAAGTGGTGCACAACCAGGCCATGAAGAGATGCTTTGCACACCTGGGCTCACAGCAACATCTTTCATGATAGAATAAGGAAGCAAACCAAGAGAACATCAACAGGTGGTTGGAGGAATACACAGGACATGGTGCGCATGTCCAATGGAGTATTCTTTACCGTAGAAAAGGAAGGAATTCCAACACGTGCCACAACACAAGCCATCCTTAAGCATATTGTGCTGAGTGTAGCAAGCCAGGCCTCCCCCCAAAAATAACACGTGATATTATTTTTTTAATGGCTTCATCAAGATCATCACAGAGACAGGAAAGGAGAATAATGAGGCAGAGGGGGGGAAAGCTCATGTTTAATGACTCTAGTGTGTCAGTTTGACACAATGAGAACAATGTTGGACATAGTGGTCGTATGACAACTGGCCACAGAACTAGATACTTAAATTATTTCAGTGGTAAGTAGATGGAGTTTTGCTATATGTATTGACCACAACAGAAAAATGAGAAGCAAAAACGAATGAGGCATTGGAGTAGAAGGCCTGTCATGAGGATGAGGCTGAGGGCAGTGCTACACAGAGCCCCTAAGACAGACACACAGAGCCTCTGCAGACAGACAGACACACAGAGCCTCTGC